TCCCCCTGGGTAGAGTGCCATGGCATCACAGCTCACAGCAACCTCCAACTCCTGGGCTCAAGCAAGTCTCCTGCCTCAGCCTCCCAAGTAGCTGGACCACAGGCGCCCACCAGAACGCCTGGTTATTTTTTGGTTGCAGCCATCATTGTTGTTTGGTGGGCCCAGGCTGGATTTGAACCTACCACCTTAGGTGTATGTGGCTGGCACCTTAGCCACTTGAGCCACAGGGGCCAAGCCAGGATTATATTTCTTGATCTGGGTGATAGTTACCTAGGTGTGTTTATTTTGTGAGTTTCCTCAAGTAATACATTTGTGATGTGCCCTCTTCTGTCCATATGTTATACTTCAGGAAATAAATTTCATTTTTATAAAATAAAATACCATTATCATCAGTATGGTGAGCTTCCTAGGGAATGGTAAGAAATGGTGAATGGAGAAATTCACTTAAGTTGTAAATCAGACTATTAATATGAGCACACGTGGCACACTGCTGGTGGGAATGCAAAATGTAGTCACTTTGGAAGACAGTTTGACAGACTTACGAAGTTAACTATAAACTTACCATACAACCCACCAATCTAGCAAGCCCAGTCCTAGGTATTTACCCAAGAGGAATGAAAGCATGTGCCTATCAAATGTTTAAGGCAGCTTTGTTCATAATAACCGAAAACTGCCAGGCACAACAGCTCACTCCTGCAATCCCAGCACCTTGAAGGACCAAGACAGGAGGATCACTTGAGGCCAGGAGTTTGGTATCAGCCTGGGCAACATAGTGAGACCCTATTCCTAAAAATTAAAAACAAGGTACTCTTGAAATCAGTGCAGTAAGATGGTATGCATGAGGTGAAGTAGGTAACATAGAGTTGAAAAAGGTTATAAAAGTTGTGGGTTGCAGCAATGCCCTGATGATCTAGAACTGATTTTGCGATAAAGTGACTTTGGAAGGAAAAAGACAAATGAACATACATGGACATTCTAATCTGTCCCTCTATCACCTTCCCTCTGAGGAAAAAGAAAATGTTGTCACAGTCATAGATGATAATAGCTCACAAAAGGGAGGGCACGCTGTGTACCCGCCACTGTTTTAAAGATGTCTGCATGTATCATTTAATCCTCACAGCCACCCTGAGGTAAGTAGAGACAGGATTCAAATCTATGCAGTCTGACTTCATAGCACAGTACTGTCTCACTTTTAAGAGAGAAAGAGAATGAGATTATCCTGATGGGACGTGAAACTCCTAATTAGCACAGTTAGGCTTTTAATTTTTTAAGTCCACAAATAAGACAAAAAAGTTTTCTAGATTGAATGGGATAGTGGGATATGTCTATTGGTGAATCAGCAAGAAATAAATAAAAACATAGCCTAACAGTTATACTTGAGTCAATATGAATTTTTATTAACACACATTTGTCAAAGTCTGTACAAACCAAAACATTCCTGTGTTTTAAAATGTCCATTATTACAAACATACAAAGAAACAAAAGGTGTTACCAAAAATTAGCTACTCGTTTTCATGGTAAAACAGTGTCATGATTTTTAAAAATCAAAATTTCAAGACTGAGGTTTCTTCCTTCCCTTTTTGGAACTTATGGAAAGTTAGAAAATGTGTGGATTTGCTTTGTATTAAATGCCAAGACCTTAAAAAAAGATTTAGTATAAAACTAAATATGTGTTTTTATATCGTCATACTTCATGTAACAGAATTTCAGTCTTTAAAATTAAAAAAAAAAAAAAAGACTATCATTTTTCACAGTCTCTTCCCCAGTCAGTTGCAAATGCATCTGAAAAATATTATCTGACAGTTTATCTTTACTTAAAAGTTTCTCATTCAAAAAGTTATAAAATTATTTAGCACAGCCATTTCCCTTGCTTAGAAGGGAAAATTACATCCCCTACTAGGGTGATATATAAGCAACATGGTCCATTGTATCTCTTATCAGAAGGAAGCTGCTCAATTCCGCATCTCTGTCCAATTATGTGCATGGCTCCATTTAGAGAATGCTACCACGAACTATAGAGCAGTTGCTTCTAGAGGATGCCTGTCAAGTTAAATTTACTGCTGTAATTTTGGTATACTGAGGTACAAATGTCATCTGCCCTCATGATTAATTCTGGCTCTACTATCCCCTGCATAATGATTCCAGGGTAGTGAGTTTTGCTGTTTCACGGCATACACCACATATCCCTCCCTCCTTTCACAGATACCCGAGGACCTGCGAGTATGGGTAGAGATGCAAATCTATCCCATCCTGGAAAAGTACATCCATGTGCCTAGAAGGAAAGACAGAGCACACGTAACTCCAGCTGAGGCCACGTACTTCTAGGAAGTACCTGTTTCCACCTCTTCATTCAAAGCCAGACAGTGTAAAGGTTGGGGTGGGTGAGGAGGAGTGGGGAGAAGGTACAGTGATATCACTTCTCCTGACTGTTCTCAGTCCTTACTTGAGCAGTTTGTGATGACCCCAGAAATGCTCTACAGTTCAAATATTGTCCCATTTTTAATCTTCTCATGTAAAAAAAAAAAATTGTTCTCTGACAGCAGCCCAGTATGACAACTGATATAAGCAAATAAATGATAGTTTTTAAAAAAGAAGTGGCAGTGTGAGAATTTAAAATCGATCACATAAAACAATCAGGAAACAGGGTTGGGGGGAGCGTCCAGTACAACCTGGACAACCTTTCTTTCTGCCCTTACTTAAAAAGACAGACTGTTCAAATCTTTGCTACCTCCCTTAAGTATCTCCTTAAATGTTCTTCCAAGAAATCCTCCAAAAGGCACTTAACTCCATACTTATGCATTGAATTGTTTCACCTTAGCAATCCTTTTTAAGACTCCAAGGTAACAAGAAAGAAAAGATCTGATTCGTCTACTAAAAGCTAGAGAAGAGGACTTTTTTTTTTAAAGAGGCATTACTTTTACAAGAAGGACTAGCTAGGCTACCATTATTCCTTTATCAAGAAAAAGTTTTCTTTTTTTTTAAAAATAAATAAAACTCTGGCTATACATAGTACAAAGTTCATACATAATATATCTGGAAAAAAACCCAAGAGGATACCCTGAAGCAAAAGGTTTATTGGAGAGAGAAAGCCTCTTCCATTGTACCAAGTTTTAAGGTGGCAGTTTTCAAAGTTCAGAAGTGGCAGTGATATATAATTAATGCCAAACAATTTGCTCATGGGTATGGCAGGATGCAATGATGGACTAAAAAAAAAAAACCAAAATCATTCTGCACATTACACTGAGCAGTGACCACCACGAAAAAAAAAAAAGAAAAAAAAGGAAAGAAAGAGTAATACGAAAATAGAGAAAGCGTGAGAGAAGAGAAGAGGTCCTAGAAGTGAGAGAAAGAGAGCCTGAAACCCCAAACACTCAAGCATGCAGTCATAACACAGCACAAACCAGGTGTTTCCATTCAGCCCACTGCAATCGCACAAAGAAAGATAACTGAAATAAAATAGATATTTCTTAAGAAAACTTGCACTTCCCAGAGAACAGCCATGTCACCAACCCTAACCCAGAACAACTCCATATGCTGTTGCTAGGGAGCCTCCTCAGGGTCTGTCACGGAGAGGTGATAGCTCCTGACTTCTCAGACTTCTTGCTCTTGGACAAAGCAGCTGCCTGCTTCAGGAGCTCTCGGTTTTTGGCCTAAAAAAATCAGTGCAAGAAGGATGTTTTAAATGGGATAGGATATGTTTTTTATGCAAAGTAAGTGCATAAGCTAAGGTGGACAACGTAGAGAGTCAGAAAAAGATTAACAACTCTAGAAGTAGAAAACAACAGAAATCTCTAGGGCTTGACACTTGGTTCAAGAAAAAAATAAATGTATTTGCTAGAGGTTAATCAGTGCATCTCAATCTCTTGGGGCCACTGTTACAAAAGGATGCTTTATACAATATAAACAAACCACAGAGTGCCTTAATGAGCTGGATAAACAGAATTTATAAGTCAGACATCTGGAATCACATCTGGTTTATTCAAAACCAAAAAGCACATTAATTCTACTGTTTTTGAGGAGAGAAGATCAGAACATGTCCAAGAGTAAAACAATATAAAATATCTAAAAGAAAGATTAATGTGATTTGAGAAAAAAGAAATCTAAGGGATAGTTACTTAAAATACAATCAGTTGGGCAGAGCTTGTGGCTCAGTGAGTAGGGCGCTGGCCTCATATACCAAGGGTGG